CTATTTAACAGTCTAATGTCCTTGAGATAAAAGCTGTTTTTCAGTCTCTCGGTCCCACCTTTGATGCACCTGTACTGACCTCGCCTTCTGGATGATAGCGGGGTGAACAGGCCGTGGCTCGGGTGGTTGATGTCCTTGATGATCTTTTTGGCATTCCTGTGACATTGAGTGCTGTAGGTGTCCTGGAAGGCAGGCGTTGGGCAGACCGCACCACCCTCTGGAGAGCCCTGCGGTTGCGGGCGGTGCAGTTACCGTACCAGGCGGTGATACAGCCCGACAGGATGCTCTCAATTGTGCATCTGTAAAAGTTTGTGAGGGTCTTAGGGGCCAAGCCAAATTTCTTCAGCCTCCTGAGGTTGAAGAGGCGCTGTTGCACCTTCTTCACAACACTATCTGTGTGGGTGGACTATTTCAGATTGTCAGTGATGTGTACGCCGAGGAACTTGAAGCTTTTCACCTTCTCCACTGCGGTCCCGTCGATGTGGATAGGGACGTGCTTCCTCTGCTGTCTCCTGAAGTCCACGATCAGTAGAATATAACTTCATATATAGTTCAGTGTTTTTCCCCATTTTAATCCATAGGTTACCCTACTAATATGCAGGCAATTAAAATGTGTAAAGAAAACATGGTGAATATCAACAATAACAGATGAAATTCCCTCTCTTCTGCATGCAATACAATCAATTGATGTCACTGCTTTTAGGACAACATTGGGAAGGATTTATGCATTTTTAAAGTAGGCCTATTCTACCTCTCCACATCTACTATTGTAGTTTATATTTAACTACACAATGCCACCATCTAGTGGTGACTGAATGTTACTCATCTGAACCGATTCCTTAGACGATATAAAAAATAAAATAAAAATTGTAAACATCATCTGTAGAAGTATATAGAAAATGTATTGGCAAAATTAATAGGTTTCATTTTGTTGGCTCTGCTGCCATTCTAAAACTGCAGTGTACTACAGAATGTAATGTAAGCGTGCTATGTCTCTGCATAGAGGTCTTGACCTTATATGGCGCTGGAGCTTCTAGTGTGCTTGCCCTATATTCGCAGGGCTGCTGGTTCGTACTCCTCCCAAGCTGTTCCCCTTTAAACCACTTTAGTAGTCTACTGGATGCACTTGTAGGCCAAAAAATGGTGACTATTTGCATAAAATGAATGTAGAGCTATAGAGTGTCAAGTTGAGGCTGGTCTCAGTTGCAGTAGAATGTGTTACTGTTTGCCTTGATCTGGTCAGGACTGCTTTGGTGTGCTCACTGTGCTGTGGGTTTTTTAAGATCAGAGAGCAGTGAGTGAGTTCGGTGCCCACCTGGGGGCTTTCTGCAATAGAGACATCTTATCTCACTGCTGTGTGCGGAACTTCGTTTCGCCCCGGGGGGTACTCAATTGTGACGGCATCCTTTGGGGCATCCTCTGTAGTTCAGGGCAATGGTTGCCATGGAGACATTAAGCCACTCTATCGCGAAACCGCAGAACCCCAAAGGCCCTCAGAGGGGTTGGGAGGAGAGAGAGAGAATGTGTGTGTGAGTGAGGGGAAAGGGGGAGGAATTTGGATAAGAGTCCTGTGACTAGGACCCGCCCTCTGAAGCCTGCTTTTAAGGTGTCTGAGCAAATAGGAGAGGCCGCCTTTCGGTTTTAGCATGGATATGTGTAGGACAGTTTATCCTATCTTGAAATTGTCATTCTAGAATGTAGCTGTAGGCTTTTGCAAAGACCGCTGGTGCTAAACTTATTTTACCAGCAACATGTGTGAATCAGAAACCTTACTCCTTCAATCCTCACTGGTCTCTACCTAACATCTCAGAATCTATGCAAAAGATTAGGCTATGAAGTTGTTGTATGTTCTGCACCCCATAGAGTCAAGAGAATGCACTTCACAGAGCACATAGGCTAACTTTGCATTGGTAGAGAATCAATGCAGTGCAGTGACCATAGTCAGGGCTGGCTCCAGGCATAAGTGACATAAGCGGTCGCTTAGGGCCCAACATTTTTTTTGTTTTTTTTGGAACTCAGTCAGGGTCTCAACATACTGTTAAGAGTTAGAATAGTAGAATACACAAGGTGCAAGTTCAAAATTTGGTTGTGCATCAGCAGTTTTTCTCTTGTTATGTCAGTCACTGACAGTCACTCAATTTGCCATGTCAGCTAACAATTTTTAGATTGGTAAATTAGTCTAGCCAGCTATCTAAAATTGTAGTAATCATGGCAGAATACCGACCGGTCACGCAGGGCATGTGCCCAGGGGCCCTGACTTCCAGGGGGCCCCCATTGATTTTGTTAGTCAATCTCACTCAGATATCATTAACATGGCAAAATGAGTAGAATTGCAAGAAATTAGCTGTAAAACTGCAATACCAAATCTCGCTTAGGGCCCCCTAAAGGCTAGAGCCAGACCATAGTGTTTTATTGAATCTACCCATGCACGTCTCCTTATCTCCCTGCAGAGATGTATTGATCCGAATCAAATAGAAAACATAAAGTATGGGTCAGATACAAAACAGACAGTCAAAGTCGGATGGGAGATGAGTACTATTTTCCCATATCAGTTGCTGTGAACATGGGAGCAGGCATCCCATTGGCAGGATGTAGAGTCCCACATGTAGTTCCGTGGAGTGGGTGTATACAGCTGTCAATCTCCGGTGTCCACCCCCCGATCTGTTTTCCTAAACCGGAGAGTGAGAGGCGAAAGGGGGATACGTGGAGTGACTCAGAGACACTCTGGTTTCAAAATACACCACGGCCAGAGGGGTTAACATCAACGCTGTGTTTGAAAAGGTGATTCTGCTTACCCATACCATACCTCCACTAAATTGCATTTCTAATAAAGAATATATTCCATTAATGCATAGTTTTCTCTCACATGGATGTTGTAGTGAGCATGTTAACATGAGTATGTTGTGTACATTTGGTGAGCTTTGAGCTCTTTAGATTTGACTGTCTGAGTGACTGATTATTGTAATCACATTTTGAAGCCTATTGATGTATTCTCTCATATATCCTCATGTGCTTTAAACAGAAATTGAAGTGATATGTTTTATGAACATTCAATATTGATAGGGTAAGTATTGTTTACCATGTGTGTAAAAATCTATTTAGTGCAAATCAGTGTTGTGGGCAGTCGTGAAATTCCAGCGTCTCATTTGAATGGCCTGTTCACTGGATGTGTGTGGGCGCATGCATGTGTTCACTTTGCCCTGATGGCAGCTCTCCTATGGTCTGGGGGAAAATTATTTTGAGGAAAAATTATTGATTTCAAGTGTGAATCAGAGTGGAGCTCTGAACATAGCCCCTTTCAATCAATCCCCTACTGGATTGCTATCTAAACACTTTAAACATGCTTTAGTTCTGCAGAGGTTTCTGTCACCCTTTTTCTAGCATCAGCTTGAACTTTGCTTATGGTTCAACCTCTTTTATCTCCCTATAGAGCCCCCTTATATTAATGGCAATGAGAGGGAGAGAGTCATATTAACATCTCACAAAGTAGTAGCATCTAGCAGGGCCAGGCGGCACCAGTTCTAAAAGTTCATTGATTAGGTTGGGCCTATTATTGTTTCTGCTAAGAGGCCTTTCTTTGTTTATATCCTCTCCCTTTTTAGCCCTCTTCTTTTTACTCTATCTCTGTGTCTAAGGGAGATTCTCCTTCAACCGATTTACTCTTAAACTCCCAGTCCGTTCTCCTAGTCAGATTGGAGTTCTACAGTGTTTCATATGTCTGCTTTAAAACCTGAAACTCAGCCCTGAGGAAAGCTCTGCTTCTGTGTTTGCATTAGGCAACATCTATCCATTCCAATGAGTTCCACAGGTCACTGTGCCCCAGAGACTTCTGTTTAGCCAATGACAAAGTTGGTGTGTGTGGGTGCCTAAGTTTGTGCCCCCTATAAATATGGGTGTGTACGCCAGTTTGTATTCATGTGTCTGTATGCCTACTAGTTAATCTGTGTGTGTGTGGTGTGTGTGTTTTTGTGTGTGTGTAGTTCCCCCCACACTTCCTGAGTTTCCTGGCAGGCGATGTGTGTGTTTTCTCTCTCCCTGGTCATGCTAGCTCACATCCTGTTGAGGATGCCACAGAAGTCAGCGGATATGGCCAGAATTCTGACCATGAGGAATATGGGTAGCAGTAGCACTTATATTGAACCCTGTAACGAAGCCTCCTATACAGTCATAAGCAGCATATAACCATGTAATAAGTGGCCATAAGAGGAGTGTTGTCCAACGCTGTTTCTTTAATGTTTTATCGGGTTCCTAGTGGCTGCTGGTGGTTCATATCCTGGATCAATATCCTCTTGAATTGTATTTGACTCCACCTTTTGAAAATATAAAATTACCCTGTTAATCAACTGTACCACAGCAAACACCTCAGTTGACCGACTGTAGAGGTCCTTTTAGGCTTGAAATAGCCTGGAGGATTTTCTCAAATATTTACCACTGACAAATAGAGAAAAACACTCATAACCATACATAATTGTCCAAAAGTAATTTCTTGCAAATCAGACATGTTCTGCACCATGAAACATGGAATGCAATTTATCCTATAATCTGAAACACATTTTGACATTTGTAACCAACATAGCCGAATTAAACTAATTTATGGGGGACTAGATTAGGCTTTACAAAATCTATTTAAATTAAATAAAAAAGTTAACTAGTTCATTGCACTCCCGCCCTTTGAGAACCACATAATTCTAATTTACAAATTGAACCAAAAGCAGCCAATAATCTGGGTGCGAACGTCTGCCTCACGACCGTTGCCAGAGACTCACGGCGGCGGTAAATTCGTTTGTTTACGGCAAGCTCTTGTTTGGTCCCAACCGAAAATGCAAATGCAGTCACGATTGTAGACTACGTTAAACGTTATCTGTTTGTGTTTGTGTGGGCGTGGGGTGGGTGGGCGACCTACGGCTATTTTCCCTAAATCGGTTTATTTAACGTGCCCCAACCGGAGATTGAATAAATTACAATACAGTGCTCGCCCTCTATAGTCCGTTTCGGTTAGCTGTAACGAGGTGGATACAATTCTCTATTCACAGTAACACACGGCGGTTACGGTTCCCTTCCCAAAGAGAATTTGTCAGGCGTCCCGTCCGTTCAGCGAACTGCTGTTTTTAAGTGCCCTACATAGTCATGTGATTGTAACGTAACCCGACCGGAAAACACCGACGACCATCAATGCCTCTTGAGAGGAACAGAGCAGCTGCAAGCCCAACGGACAAGTCCTCCGGTAACAAACAACAACACGACTAACTCCACGGATTCAAGGCAAGCAGAGTAGAAAGGTAAGGCTACACGCACTTCATTACATTGTGTATACCGACTGATGTAATTTATATACGGTTTCAATAAATCGGTCACTTTGAAGTTTAAGAAATGTATTCGGTGACCACCCCTTCCCCCTTGTCCATTTCATGAGGCTCGGTTTATTTTCACTACACCGCTCCTCTAGTCCGGGGGGGGGGGGGGTGGGGGGCAGAGGCTAGCGCCCGAGTCTTCGTGGCGCGCTCGAACACACCGTTTCAGCTCCTAAATGAGACAGATTAAAATGATTTTGTTACTTGCCGTGGCGTGGGTCTATGGCTAAACTAGACATGCCAGCAGCATAGTCGTTCACTTATAGGTTTTGTAAGGGTTATCTTTTGTTTAGGACGAAAACGTACTGCGGAAGTGGTTTCTCTGCGGGATATTGGGCCGTTCCACGTGTCTACAGTAGGGGCGGTGCTTTCTTACAAACACATAGGGCTACTATGAACACATGGTACTTTATTGCTAGATTCCTTATTCTTGAGTGACTACTCAAAGGTTTACTATTACAAAATGACTCATTCATTATTATTTAGTAACACAGGTCTCACAATTGACTGCTGGATGTCTGCCTCACAAAATATCATTCATTTCAGATGGTATTTTCTGATAATGTAAGGCAGGCTACTTTATTTGCCAGAATGGATTTCATAAACATATTTGTCAATACTTAGAGCAACACTGTTTAATCACCACCAATGCCGCAACATTAGCCTGCAGTGTTTTCCTGCAATAGTAGTAGACTATTGTGTCTGGACCAGATTGAGAGTTGCTCTCTTCATCTCTTCAGACAACTCCAGATTAGGCAGACCTTCTTCTTATGTACATGTAAACAGAAGGCTCCTGAGTCAGCCTAGTGCCTACTACCTGGGGTTTTGACTTGTGAGTGTTGTGGTGTTTCTGTGTGGTATAGTGAGCGAATGGGTGTTATATCCTGCAGGCTCCATTCCCATTGGTAGAGGGGTGGAACCAGTCAGTCTTGCCTCAGGAATGTGTAGATGTACATAAACCTGATCATGTGACGCCCAAAAGCCTCTAATCCCGTGGTGACTTTTAGGGGTCAACAGCAGCCGTCTTGGTGGCCAGAGCAGAGAGCACACACTCCCTATGAGTAAGGGTTCAAAGGGCATAGGCTGATAAAGACCAGGTCATGCGAGGGGGTTGGAATCCCGTCAAAGGACTGAGAGCAGACTGCCTGTAGAGATTATGCTACTTACCTAACCATACACCTTTATTCCATGGATCTGTCGGTTTCTATCTGGCACTTCTGATTGGCTGGAATTCCATGGTGGTATTTGCACTCCCTCTGGAGATGCCGACGGTTCAGAGGTGAGGTGACTGAGGTCTATGGATATCAAGAGTAACTTTTAGGTGTCTTATTCTACATTTTACATTTTAGTCATTTAGCAGACGCGCTTATCCAGAGCGACTTAGAGTTAGTGTTTTTTTCATACTGGCCCCCCTTGGGAAACATCATCAATTTTGTTTTATAGAGTAGTTTTTGTTTAACTGACATATAGCTACAAGGGAAAATACATTCAATGGGGTGTAGTCTTGAACTCTTTCTTCCAAATGGATAAGAGATCTTCTTCTAGCCTAAATATACAGTAGGTTAACCCCTCCTCTGCATCCTGTCCCCTGAGACAGCTTGTAGGGTTGTATGAGTAGTCCTCCGGAAGCTGCAGCCTAGAGGTCAATACGGAAACCACCCATTCTGTCTCCTTTCCCATCAAACGCTTTTGCTAGGGTGGTTAAAGCCAGCCTTGTGGAAAAACCATCCAGTCAATAGCTCAGCTGCATCTCTGAGATCAGGTCATCTGATGTTAAACAGCTCGGCCTCCTTGGCCTTATTTGACATTGAGCTGTTAGGCTATGTTTAGGACAAGAGCCCTTCCCTGCTTTGAATACATTTGATGAAAATATGTTAGATTTGGTATGTAAAGAGGATCCGTGTTACATTAATATAGTATGCTCATATATTAACTCGTAAGCTAGCCTAGGCTACATGCTATGTATCAGAAAATAAGCCATTAAATTGCTTCTATTCAACAACAGTGTTTGTATTGCTAGCCTACATTGGAATTTGTTGTGTTGTTACAGAGCTGTCAAAGTGGCCCTCTCAGACCTCTCTCTGTGGTGGCATTGTGGTCCTCTTCCAGACAGGAAACTAACCAACCGACCGACTGACTGTTGCCTTCGTCTCTGTGTCTTTCTTTGTGCAGGTTGAAGAATGGAGTTGGCCAACCATGGTCTTATCCTCCTGCAGCAGCTCAACGCTCAGAGGGAGTTTGGCTTCCTGTGTGACTGTACCATCGCCATCGGAGACGTCTTCTTCAAAGCCCACAAGGCCGTGCTGGCCGCCTTCTCAAACTACTTCAGAATGCTCTTCATACACCAGGACAGGTATGGTAGGCTACATTACGCTAGGCTAACATTACGTTTACTAATGATTTACAACTGAGAAAGTTTAGTTGAAACCCAACACAGCCCTGCTTGGACTGTTCAAACAAGTTCACCTAAAGGTTGTAGTAGAATATGTGCAACTCAATAAGGAAAGGACCATGTTTATGAATGGTGATCAATAGAAGCTTTTGTTTGCATCATCAGTGTGTTCAATTTCCAAGACGTTTTGATGTGGCCAATTTGTTAAAAATAAATAATTATACCATAAATAAATATCTAACTCTATCTCTTTTCAGTGACTGTGTCCGCCTGAAGGCAGCTGACATCCAGCCAGACATCTTCAGCTACCTCCTCAACCTGATGTACACAGGGAAGCTGGCCCCTCAGCTCATCGACCCAGCCCGGCTGGAGCAGGGGGTCAAGTTCCTCCACGCCTACCCCCTCCTCCAGGAGGCCAGCCTGGCCAGCCAGACAGCCTTCTCCCACCCAGAGCCCAGCCTGCCCCTCTCTACTTCCCTCTTTGGCATCCAGATCTCCGACAAACAGGTGGCACTGTCCGGCAGGCTGCCCGTCCGGCGCCAGCTCTCCTCGCCTTTTGACCTGGACAGCCTCCCTGACAGGAAGTATCCTTCCACGTCTGCTGTAGCAGCGGCGTTCGCCAACCACGCGTCCAAGCTGGACTCTTCGTTTCAGGAAATGGTGGAGGCTTCGACCAGCGGCCAACGGGCCTCGTATGAGGAGCATAGAGGGAACACCCCGACAGGGGAGGTGCCCTCCTCAGGTAGCTCAAACACCATTCTCCATGTGAAGCCGAGCATCATGAAGAGGAATGCCTCCTTCAGGAAGCACTACTCCTGCCACCTGTGTGGCAGCCGCTTCAACCAGAGGAGCCTGTTGAGGGAGCACCTCCTGCAGCACAGTCTGGCCCGGCTCCCCTTGGTGGCCAAGCCCAGCGGTGCACACTCACCTCACCTCCCAGGAGGAGGAGGAACCACCACACCAGAGGTAGAGGAGGTACTGCTAAGGGGAGGTGGAGAACGGTCCACTGCCATGACAGTTGAGATGCTTAGTGACAGCGAGCAAGCACCTCCCTCTGGTTTCAACATGGACTCTCCCAGAGCGGAGTTTTCAGGGTGGGCGACGGGGTGTCAGTCCCAGGCCGACACCCCACCTCCATCGGACATTGCGGATATCGACAACCTGGAGAGTGCTGACCTGGACCGCGAGGTGAAGCGCAGGAAGTATGAGTGCTCCACCTGCGGTCGCAAGTTCATCCAGAAGAGCCACTGGCGAGAGCACATGTACATCCACACGGGCAAGCCTTACAAGTGCAGTGCCTGCGGCAAGAGCTTCTGTCGTGCCAACCAGGCGGCGCGCCACGTGTGTCTGACCCAGGGCGCCGACGCCTACACCATGGTGGACCGGCAGAGCATGGAGCTGTGTGCTGCAGGGGATGACACCAGCCAGATGGAGGCGCTGTTCCTAGGCTCGGCCAGGCCCTACAAGTGTAATGTCTGTGAGACCACCTTCTCCAGCCCCAACGAGGTCATTAAGCACCTGTGCTTCAGCCAAGGGGCTCTAGCAGGCCTGCAGGGGCAGTCAGGGGCGGGGCTGCTGCAGGGGGAGGAGTTTCCCAAAGACGAGGGCTCTGATTCGTCCGGCACAGCCACCCTCATTACGGCCATAAAAACTGAGCAGATCTTGGTGGAGTAGCACCACAGCACCAGAACCAGTCTTATATTTTTGTTCTCTTTTATATATGTTTCTTTTTTACTTTGGTAAATTATGGTCAGTAGTTAAGCTAAAGGTTTAGTTAGAGGTATGTATGCGTAGGAGGGGTTTTATATCTACTGAAAATGCTTCCTCAGGTTTATTTAACAGCAAAAGCCAGAGACTGGGACTTGTTTCAGTAGGAACTGTCTATTAAGTGTCCATGTGAAAACCACACACTGTACTAAGTCTTCTTTCCAACATGACGTTGCATTTGTTCATCCATTTGTTCTCCAATGCATATGTCACTGACCAGTTGGCAAAGTAGTATGTCACTATACGTTTCTCAAAATATGTTCTGCAGTTGAGTTCCTGATGTAATTATGACTAGGCCTTTGTCGTATTGTCAGTCTCTTTCTGGTGCTTCATTTTCATAGGTCTGTCACATTGGTTTCTGTTACTTAATTTAAAGTGGCCGTTGGCTGTGGTCGAGCCTCTCACTCAGCTTTTAGCAGGAGTTTTAACAGGAAAGGGAAGTTGAGATAGATTTCCGGAGGAAGTGATGTTTCTCTACAATCAGATGCGAGCGGAAGCAACAGGCAGGTAGACACAGACTGAATGGTGGTCTCAACACGTCTGCTGTAAAAGAAAAATAGTCTCCTTTTCCAGAGTGTTATCTGGTGCTGTATACTGATGAAATGAGTATATGTCCAGAATCAACCTCATACGAATGCCTAGTAGGTCCGGTCCAGTAGGCTATGTCTTCCTTTGGCAGTTTTCAGTAACCTTGTAAGCAGAACATGTACCATGACATTTTATAATTCCGTGGTATAATTTCCCTTCTGTGCATCGTTTTGAGCAGCCATTTTGTCACTTTCTGTGTTACGTGTGCCAACTGTGTGGGTATGAAAAGAAGCACAATTGCCATAGAAGAAAAGGATTGTGTTGGTTACACCAACAGAGGCCTCAAAGCAGAAGCAAGCACTGTAGCTTTATACGTCATGTTTACAGTCGTGCCATTTTATAAACCTTTGTTTATTTTAAATAGCTACTATCTGTGCATTTTTAAACACATTTATGTTATTATATTTTGATGCGTACATACATTGAAGGGAGTTTTCAATTCTGTACAATATTGTACACCTTGCCAATTGATGATAATTTGCTTGAATTTGTTCTTAAAGACCTTATTTTGAGTTGGATATACCGTTCTAATTTTATATACAGTGCTATATTTTCAAATCATATTTTTTATTGCAACGTTTGTATATTACTAATTGGTTTCCAATCTAGAAAACGATTGATTTAGTATAGTGAAGGTGTATGTATATTTGTTGTCAATCTCTTTCCATTCAAGGCCTTGGTGTTACTGACAAAATGCTAGTATGATATTTATCTTAATCTGCTGCGGTTTCATCTGCAGTTACTCTTTTCCTCTGTTTAAACAGTACAGTTTGGTGGCAGGGAGGGTCAGGCTCAGTTCCATTTTAACCCCTAGCCCAGTCCTCTAGCTTCGTTCTATCCTTTTGGAGCTCATAGACTGGATCCATGAAAGAAAAATGTCCATCCATATGGTTAATATGACTGTATGGTTTATGCCTATCCTATCGAGTCTCTATCCAGGGTGGGGCCAAATGGAACTGGGCCTAGGGTTCCATACTACTTTAGCACTAATGGAGTCTTCATGCTAACTGAGCAAATAAGACATAGTTCAGTCACATTTCCATTATCTTAAAGACACAATATAAAAGTGAGATTAAATGTGTGTTGTTACACGGGGAAGGACTCCTATTTATCTCGTGACTCAAAAGCTGTGTTACAGTATATTCAGGCATTGTGAAGTGAATACTACTGAAGTGTACTTCTCAGAGGTCAACATATAGTACATGTTTCTATTCATCAGTCAGTCTCTGGATTCTCCCTCCTGAGCTCAAGTCTTACGATGTTCAACCACATTGGTCGTAGATGTAAACTAACAGCTTAACATCTTTCGCTGTGTCAATTATAAAATGTGTATTTATGCAAGCGGTTTGTCTTTTCTGTGTTGGGATGTTTTTGGAAACAAGTTTCAGGGGTAATGGGGAATGATGGAAAGTCCCATACACATGATCCTCGAGAGCGCACAATGCTGCCCTCCCAAAGCTCAGTTGAACCTGTACTGTGATATCTCTGTGTTCTCAGGAACGTGAGTTAGTCTTCTGTGTAAATAATAAATAAAAGTATTTTACATTTTCATAGTGAAGAATGAACAATTAAAGAGATGTTTTGCAGAATTATGGCATGATTAATTATTTCTAATTCAGCTGTGTTCATCCCAATAATAAATGCATGTTTGATTCAGATGCTTTACTGAGCTTTTGGCTTTAGTTAAATAAACTAGTTTATATAATAAACTTACATTGCTACTATCTGAGGGTTTCCCAGTCTTTCATCAACCCCATCCAAATGAACATGTTGGATTAAATAATGGATTGATGTTGGTCTAATGTCGATGTATTGGAATTAGTTGATCCAAAAGATGCTACAAGATGTCTCCACTTCATAAAAGGGTTTTGGCTCCTCTTCCTCCTTATAGGAGGACACCAGTGTTGTTTTATGACTGTGTAGGGTGGGGAAAACTTGGGTCTGTAATGTCAGTTCTGCATTCAATTAAAATCCAGAGTTTTACTCCATATGTTTCTAGTTAATAGCTCACAACAGTCTCAAGAGCTAAAACATTCATGATTTACAGAGCTGTTCACCATTTTAACTGGCTTGTTCCATGACAACTTGGCCCAGGCAAGTTACACTAGATAGAACAGTGGGACTGAAGTGTAAAGGCTCCAGTGCACTCAAAAATGTGCATTTCCTGTGTTTTTTATATCCACAGTATGAGGTTGGAATAATAATTGCGAAAACTATGATAATGCTATTTTAGTGTTTGAAAAGACCACTTGAAATTTCAGCCTGTTTTGGTGGGATGGAGTTTTGGTCACCAGGCAGTAAATTAGTTAATAGACCAATAACAAAGAGAGTTCCAAACCTCTCTGCCAATAACAGCTAGTTTTCAGTTTCCCCTCCCCACTCAGACCACTCCCAGACAGTCCTAGCTAAATTCTGCTTGAGAAATTGCTCTTTGCTAAGAAGCTGTTTTTGTTTCTTTTTGACCATTGTAATTGAAAACAATCACAGTAAGGTGCTTAATTGTTAGCCAGAAATGATTTGTTATTGAGATAAAAACGGCTGCATCGGACCTTTAACTGATATTTGTCCATGTTTTGAAAAAGCTGTAACAAAGTACTCATCCGTACTACAGATGCCCAAAAAAATTGTTTGCCATAAGTAAGCCAGTTTATTCTGTGATCTTTCAAACATTTAAACATCTTGAGGATCATATGCAATGGTGTCTTGCCAATATTACTTCAGCAAGATGTTTCCTGACATCCTCACCTTGGATGTTGGCCCTCCTGTAGCTCAGTTGGTAGAGCATGGCGCTTGCAACGCATGGGTTGTGGGTTCATTTCCCACGGGGGGGGCAGTATGAAAAATGTATGTACTCACTAATTGTTAGTAGCTCTGGATAAGAGCGTCTCCTAAATTACTAAAATGTCAATTGGATCACTAAAAATGACATGAGGATCATGTGCAATGGTGTCTTGCCAATATTACTTCAGCAAGATGTTTCCTGACATCCTCACCTTGGACATGAGGATCATATGCAATGGTGTCTTGGCAATATTACTTCAGCAAGATGTTTCCTGACATCCTCACCTTGGACATCATTCTCTCCAAATATTTTTACAGTATGTACAGTGAGGGAAAAAAGTATTTGATCCCCTGCTGATTTTGTATGTTTGCCCACTGACAAAGAAATGATCAGTCTATAATTTTAATGGTAGGTTTATTTGAACAGTGAGAGACAGAATAACAACAAAAAAATCCAGAAAAACGCATGTCAAAAATGTTATAAATTGATTTGCATTTTAATGAGGGAAATAAGTATTTGACCCCTCTGCAAAACATGACTTAGTACTTGGTGACAAAACATCTCAGGAGAGATTTTGTCCCACTCCTCTTTGCAGATCTTCTCCAAGTCATTAAGGTTTCGAGGCTGATTTTGGCAACTCGAACCTTCAGCTCCCTCCACAGATTTTCTATGGGATTAAGGTCTGGAGACTGGCTACGCCACTCCAGGACCTTAATGTGCTTCTTCTTGAGCCACTCCTTTGTTGCCTTGGCCGTGTGTTTTGGGTCATTGTCATGCTGGAATACCCATCCACGACCCATTTTCAATGCCCTGGCTGAGGGAAGGAGGTTCTCACCCAAGATTTGACGGTACATGGCCCCGTCCATCGTCCCTTTGATGCAGTGAAGTTGTCCTGTCCCTTTAGCAGAAAAACACCCCCAAAGCATAATGTTTCCACCTCCATGTTTGACGGTGGGGATGGTGTTCTTGGGGTCATAGGCAGCATTCCTCCTCCTCCAAACACGGCGAGTTGAGTTGATGCCAAAGAGCTCGATTTTGGTCTCATTTGACCACAACACTTTCACCAAGTTCTCCTCTGAATCATTCAGATGTTCATTGGAAAACTTCAGACGGCCCTGTATATGTGCTTTCTTGAGCAGGGGGACCTTGCGGGCGTAGTGTGTTACCAATTGTTTTCTTGGTGACTATGGTCCCAGCTGACTTGAGATCATTGACAAGATCCTCCTGTGTAGTTCTGGGCTGATTCCTCACCGTTCTCATGATCATTGCAACTCCACGAGGTGAGATCTTGCATGGAGCCCCAGGCCGAGGGAGATTAATAATATAATAATATGCCATTTAGCAGACGCTTTTATCCAAAGCGACTTACAGTCATGTGTGCATACATTTTTACGTATGGGTGGTCCCGGGGATCGAACCCACTACCCTGGCGTTACAAGCGCCATGCTCTACCAATTGAGCTACAGAGTTCTTTTGTGTTTCTTCCATTTGCGAATAATCGCACCAACTGTTGTCACCTTCTCACCAAGCTGCTTGGCGATGGTCTTGTAGCCCATTCCTGCCTTGTGTAGGTCTACAATCTTGTCCCTGACATCCTTGGAGAGCTCTTTGGTCTTGGCCATAGAGGAGAGTTTGGAATCTGATTGATTGATTGCTTCTGTGGACAGGTGTCTTTTATACAGGTAACAAACTGAGATTAGGAGCACTCCCTTTAAGAGTGTGCTCCTAATCTCAGCTCGCTACCTGTATAAAAGACACCTGGGAGCCAGAAATCTTTCTGATTGAGAGGGGGTCAAATACTTATTTCCCTCATTAAAATGCAAATCAATTTATAACATTTTTGACATGCCGTTATTCTGGATTTTTTTGTTTGTTATTCTGTCTCTCACTGTTCAAATAAACCTACCATTAAAATTATAGACTGATCATTTCTTTGTCAGTGGGCAAACATACAAAATCAGCAGGGGATCAAATACTTTTTTCCCCTCACTGTAGGTATCGGTTTCATGTGTGATATTTAATACACTAAATGTAGTTCAGAACCAGATAGAAACACACGGAAACTCAGGTACACATTTTAAAATGCTAGCTTTATTTTTGAATGAAATATAGACAGGTTTCTGTATCTGTACTATTAACAGCTTGGAAAATGTAAAAGACAGAATTAAGTCCATGCTACAGATACATTATATTCTTAATGCTTATAGGTTATTATTACAATATGATTTGTTAAGTACATAGGTATACAATTTGTACAAATGTTACCAGGTTCACAGTTAGATTGTGTTACAAAAAGCTTGGGAGGATTGAAGGTGGAGGGGTATCCAAACCAAATGCAGTAGAATAAGCAGTGAACACAATATATGTTTTTTTATTTTATTTTTTATACTATTTTACATAAAACAAACATTATGGATGTGTGTGACAAATCTACAGTAGAGTCAATGTAAAGTTAAACAGTGACCAGATATAGTGGTCTAGGCTTCTAGGATTTCTCTCGTGTCTCATTGGTCAGTCAGCTTTGTGAGGTGTAAAGCCTAGAGCTATACTGTCAATCATCATTTTGACATCTGAGTGATAAATAGGAAGCACTCCATTCTCACAGTATGTGCCCACAGTAGAATTGGCTTATCTAGCCACTCTAACTGATCCCAAAACCAGCATTTGAAATGTCATTGGTAAATAAAAGATTACTTGAAGATAAGTAAATCAGGCTGACCCAGAATCAGGCATTTGAGACAAATGAGATCTCATGGTCTAATTTCTTCCTGCTGATGTTATATCATGTTAGCAACCATGGATAACCTACCCTAAGTCAATTTGGCTTGGCTACATATAAACATCAAAATAAGATTTTCGTTTGTCTGGTACCATGTGATTTATGATTGAGTAGTTTGTGCCGTCTAAAAACCTCACTGGTGCCAAATCTGTGTCCCCTGCCTTGCAGCAGAGTCTTATAATTTACTGTACTGTCACACGTTACAACATGAAATGCATGTGTGTGTGTGTGGAATGTAGTTTACAGCGAACAATGTTAATTAAAAAATGTAATGAAATGCAAACATTTCCAACATAAACATAAAATAACAGCACTCACCAGTGGGAAAGGTAACATATATGGACTGAGAGACGTGATATAGACTGTATCGGCAGCAGAGGGCGCCAAATAACTGGTGTACATTCCAAACTACCGTACACTCCTCCCTGCAAGCTTACACTGTACACCAGAGATGGATGGATAGATCTCCATTTCAAGAGAGCAAGCAATTACACATATTTTGAAGTGCTACACACAACGTTAACAGAAGTCATACACTTGAAAATACAAGACAATCTAACATTGTGAGATATATGTTACTCTCCCCATGCAAGTGTATGTCCATCATAGTACGCTGCATATTAATAATTCAGTGTCACCAAATACCTCTCTCACATTATCAAACCAGGCTGAGATAATAGTGTTTTATTGTATTTTTACACGATAATCAAAGGCATACTTATTTCAGAAAGTAACAATACTTTTTTTCACAGTCAGTCAGGCAGTAAAGTATGCTTTATCTACAGTAGGAGCTGAAAATATATTGTCAGGCTGAAAGGTGAAGGGAAGTACAGTGTGACAGAGAACATGTCAAAGCTTAAAGTTTGTAAGATTGTTGCACTTCTATTGGCTTTCACCTCACTCCCTTTCTATTCACATTAAGTCATCGTCTGCAATGCAATCAATGATATCGGGCACTGCCATTGAAATCACATACTGTATGTACCATGGTTTAGTTAGAATTTCTGCTAAATCCAGACATTATCTTTGAATCTAAGTCTTACATATGTATGAGAAAATGGGTCACATATTCCATACAAAAAAAGTAAAGGAGGGGGGAATGAGCGAATACGCATAAGATATAAATACAATATACAAGATAATAATCCTCCAACTCTGAGACCACACACACACTCACTCTTAACTCTTGCACACACACACACACACACACACACCACACTCTCCACGGGACAGCAGACTCCCAAGCCACAGCAAGGGCGATGGAAGGTCGTCAAAACAGCAAAAGTACATCACATTGATTACAAGCCAGATGGGAAGCTTCAAAGGTGCGGGACTGAGGCTTAGTTTGTGTGTGTGTGTAGGGAGATTGATGCTTCACCTCTGGAGGGCCAGTGGGGTGGGGATGCCACCTCTGTGTGACGGGCTGGTGCTGCAGGACAGGGGCAGGGGGGAAGGAGAGAGGGGTGGAGTTGTCGCTCAGTCACTCAGTCGCTCTGGGCAGGGTGGGGTGGAGCTCAGTCTCAGTGTGTCTCCACAGAGCATCCTCTTGCTCTCTCTCTCGCTCACTTTCTCACTATCACTCACTTCCTGATCAGGACAGTCTGTCTCCCAGCCAACCATCTTGCATCTACAGCTGCGGTAGAGAGAAATAAATGTTATTAGTAAATGGGTACCATTATCCAATTTGTAAGTCGCTCTGGATAAGAGTGTCTGCTAAATGACTTAAATGTGAAAATGTAAAATTATCCTTGGAAACTGGTCTCCAACCTGTGGATAACAATTAGGAAATTACTTGAGTTATTTAGATAACTTCATTGATGATTTTTTTCTTCTAATGGATCATTCTAATAAGATATTACACTTACATGAATCTGAGTAGTTTGAAACAGGAGAACTCAATACCTCTGAGTGGAAAATGCTTTTTGGGATGTTGTAGACTGCAGTACTGCTGACTCAGAACCCCCTACATGTCCCTCTCCCTCTCCCTCTATCATTTATACCTCTCTCTCTTTCTTTCTCTGCTCCACTTTCCCCTCTCTTCCTCCCTCCCCACCTCTCTGTCTGCTCCGTCATCCCTTTCTCTTGGTTTGTTTTTATGACTCAGCATGCTCAGTGGGACTGCTGCTGCGCCAATGCTGCTTTCAGCCTGTTGTAATTCACTGAGCTTTCTGCTCTCCTTTGCTGCAGTGCTGCTTATTAAACATATAACAGGGCCACGCCCTATGCTCAAACTCCCCCAATTCCTGGACTAGAACTAGAGATGATAACAGTGTTTACCAGCTACTAGTATGTTGAACAATTACATACAGTTTATTCCCAATGTGCTATTATAGTTAACAGAATAAAACATGAGCTCTATCACATAGGTAGCCTAGCGCAAGTGAGCTGGGAACCGGGTTGCTGGTATCAAATCCTAGATGCCATTGGCTGCCATTGTGCCCTTGAGCAAAGCACTTAACTCCCCCACAACAACTGCTGCATGGGCGCCCAGTGAAGCAGTTCCAACCGCTCCCAATGTTAATGTATGTGTGTCTTTCGGAGGGGTTAGGATAAAGCGGAAGTCAAATTTCGGTTGGACCTTGTGTACAATTGACGAATACAGTGATCTTAATCTTAAAAACATGTAGGCTACTCTGACATGTTTGCTTGACTCCATATTGAGTTTGTGATGAAGGGAGAAAGGGAGGAGAGGAGGGGGGAGGATTCATAATCAGTCTGTCAGCACAAGTTCATCTGCCCCTCACACACCGCTTCCCTTTATAGACCCCGGCCTACAAACTAGGGGTCAACCACGGCATTCTTGCTTTGATATCAAAGGTCCCCTGGTTACTTGTACCTCGAACAAAAGCTTTTTCATCTGGTCAGCCGGAAAATCTCCCCCCTCCCCCCTGATAAAAGTAGTGCCCCTTGATGTTTAAAAAAGCCACCATGAGAAGATTGTTTGATACGCTGACAAAGGAATTCTGTAAAAAAAAAAAAATTTTAATCATGCTAGTTGAATATAATAACCTTAATAACATGTCTAGAATTGGTACCTTTGGTCAAATACTAGGAACCGCTTTCTTTCACTTTCTTGTGTTAGACAAGGAAGACGGTATGATCAGATGTCTTTAAAATATGTAGCATGACTAACATTAATTAAATGCATTTAATTGTGGGGAAATATCTTTGGGACTCTTTGACATATAAACATCAACTCATTACTTAATCCTAAACAGGTCTTTGTATAAGATAGACTGCTCACCTGCTCACGATGCAGCTGTGAGCTCTGTGGAGGAGACAGGTTCGATCTCCCTCACCGCCTCCTCGATCACCTCGATCACCTGCGCCATCATCTCCACACGCTTCACTGACGCCGCCTTCTCTGCCGCTGCCCCTGCCTCCGCTGGTCTGGCAACTGTCACAGCCATGGCGACAGCAACCTCCTCCTCCACGATGTTAGCAGGGGCCTCTTGGCTGGCAGCCACAGCCGGGGTGTCTGGTGTCGGTTCAGGGGCTGGCGTGTCTTTTTTAGCCAGGGCTTCCTTTGTCTCTGGTGCGGTAACAATGGCATCGATTTCCACCACCTCCTCCATCTGGATTTCCTCTGCTTCCTTCTCTTCAACGATCTGTGCCGCCTGATTGACCACCTGTGCTGTATGTGGGACCACAACCTCAACAGTCGTCTCCTCTGGCTGGGCTGGGGCTTTGGGGGTCTCTGTGGGCGCCTCTGGGACTGGGGTCTCTTCTGTCACCACCGCTGCTTCTGACTTCTCATCAGCTGTCTCTGGAGCGGGAACCTCTGCTATCACTTCCTGAACCAGCTTGATTACCTCAGCTTGTAGAACTTCCTGAACCTCTACTGCCTCTACGTTGCTCTTTACCTCTTTGATCACCTCCTCTGCCTTTCCATCTGTCTCACCCTCTATCTGTTCCACCTTTGCTACAACTTCAACCTCTACAACTTTCTCCTCACTTACGTTGACCTCAACTGCTTGCTTTAATTCCACTTCCTGTTTTATCTCCTCTACTTCCTCTTTGACAACATCCTCCGCCTCCTTGGTAACCTCTTCCATGATAATCTCTGTGATTTCAACTATGACTGGAACTGTCTCAATGACCTGGACGGCCTCATGGACTTCCTTTGGTGGTTTTTCAGCCTTGGCTTGTGCCTCTGGAGCAGCAGGCTCCTCTGCTGGAGTTTCTGGTGCTGGTGCTTTAACTTGGACTATAAGAGTTTCAGCAATGACAGGTTTCTCCTCTGCTACTTGTTCAATCTCTTCCTCTATTGTTGCTACTGCCTGGACTGGTAGTGTGTCTTCAGGTGTGATGGTGGCAGCGACGGAGGCAGGCGCTTCGGGTTCAGTCTCTGCTTCAGACACTTTCTCCACAGCGTTCAGGATGACCACCTGAGCAATGACCAAGCCTGTCTCCTCCATGGCCTCTGCCTCCTTCGTCTCCTCGGCCTCTGTAACGCCAACCTCAGTCACTTTCACTTGGATTTGGTCATTGCCAGCAGGCTCTGCAACTGCCACTGAGACCGTTTCCACCGGCATTGCCTCCGGGACCTCCACTTGCTGGGTTTTCACGGACTTGGACATGATGAGGCACACAGACTCCTTGACAATGGTGAACTCTTCAGCAGGGGCTACAACAGCAATGGTTGCCTCGCACACCTCAGTAATTGTGGCCTGATCGACGTCAGTTAGCGAGGTAGCCATTTCACTTGCGACGGGCTCATTCACCTCCTCTACAGGAGCGATCGCTTTGATGGCAGCTGTCTCTTCCACCTCCATCTCCTCACTTTTGACCTCAACGACAGGTGCCTCAGAGATCTCCACAATGTCACCGGCAATGGATTCTTCGACAGTTGGTGCGATGGGGTCTACCAGCTCCACTCTGGGGGTGTTCTCAGTCACTACAGGGGCCTCGATGATTTCAGCCTCCGTCTGGATATCATTGATCATGGCAACCTTTTCAACTTCAGGCTCTTTACCCTCAGTGGCTATCTCAGGCTCTGGGATGTCTTCAATAGTCTTCTCTAGGGGAGTCTCCAGGAATGTGCTTTCGACCTGCTCTACTTGAGCCTCAAACACTGGGTCTTCAGTAGCATCAGCTGCCTCAGTTGGATCAGCCTTATCCTCCACTGGCAGCTCAGCAGACAGAGCATAGCTGATCTCAGCTAGACACTCCACGGTGGGAATAACAGGCTTCTCCACCGCCACCTTGGCGATCTCCTTGGTGCCCAGGCCAGTGCAGATGGCGGTGGCCTCAGTTTCTATATGCACCATCAAGACAACCTTTGATTCGCTCTCAGTGAACTCGATCGGCGGTGTGGGCTCTGGGATGGACGCAGCTTCCTCCAGTCGGACCTCTGTGATTTCTACGGAAGTCAGACTTGGGAGCTCATTGACCAGCTCCACAGCCTCCTGCAGGACCTGCAGAGACTCTGGCTCAGTCTCATAGAGCACAGGGGTGGTTTCTCCAGACATGGCTGGGATCATCTCTGCAGTCACCTCGGCAACAGACAGCTCTGGCTTCTGCTCCAGGCATGTGACCGCCTCTGAAGTCTGCTCTACAATGTCCTCGGCGAGGGTGGTGTCAGCAGACTTGGGGGTGGCGGCACCCTCTTCTGGGATGTCGCTCAGCTGATCATGTGGAATCTCCTGGAGGTTTTCCACAACCGCCGTCGCTGAGATCCAAGAGGGGGATCTCTCTTCGGTGGATGATTGAGCTTGAGTGATTGGTGCTGCCTCCTTAGCATCCACTGTCTCCACTGTCATCTCAAATTCAGCCTCTTCTTTAGTCTTGGCATGCTCGTTGTCGTACTCTGAGAGAGGGACCACGGCTGGTGTGTCAGAGTCTTCCTCGCCAGACCCCAGATCGGAGGAAAGCTGCTTCTTCTTTCTGCGTCCAGGGATGAGTTTCCTCAGAGAGAAAGAGGAATCTTCTTTTGGGATTTCACTGTCTGAGACAACCGGTTCGGCACCGGACTCATCTGTCTTGTCCTCGGCTTTGGGCTTCTTCCTATGGGTTACGAGACGCTTGAGAGTATCCCAGGGGGACTCTCCCGCGGCAGGGCTAGTGGATGGTTCGGGGGACGACACCGTGTTTTCCTGATCTGCCTCTCTGGAGCTGCCGAGAGGAGACTCTGCGGTCTTAGCCTGCTCTTCTCCAGCTTGTGGCGCCTCCTCTTCAATTTTGGTCTCCTCATCTTCAGAGTCAGAGGTCTTCCTGGTCCTTTTCTTATTGCCGCCCATACACATAAGGGCCTCCCAGGAGACAGAGGTGTCCATCTTCATCCTTTTGGACTCCTCGGTGCTGCCCTCCAGCTTTTCAGTGGCTTCGGTTTTTGGGTCCTCCTCAGTGGGTTCCGGCTCCTTCTCTTTCTCTTTCTCCACAAATACGGCGCTCTCAGTGGAAGATAGGGTGGCCGACTTGGCTTTCTCACCAGTTGCCTCGTCCTCACTCTCAGAGGGCCTCTTGACGCGTTTCTTGGGCGTCACCAGCTTCTTGAAGGAGGACCAGGGCATGATACCATCTTTCTTCTTCCCTTCGTCTGAGCTGGTTACCTCCCCATCAGCCTCTTGGCTGGCCTCAGCTTGGGCGGCTTCCACCCCGAGGGCATGTTCACCAGACTCCTCTGGAGACGAGGCCCCACTGTCAGGTTTCTGGACCTCTGCTGAATCTGTGGAGGTCTGGAGTTCAGCCGCCTGTTCCCCAGATTCAGTCAGCTTGGACTCCGCGTCTTTCTTATCTTTCTTCTGTTTCTTGGTAGAGAGCTTCTTCAGGCCGGCCCCAGTGAAGAGCTTTTTCAGTGGGCTTCCCTGGGCCTTGACCTTTTCCTGGGATGAGAGCAGCTCAGCCTCGGTGGTGACCTTGACTGGGGCATTGTCTGCTTCCACAGCCTCTTCAACTTTCTCTTCCGCTGGTTTTGCATTGTCAGAAATACAGACTTCTGACGTTTCCACTACAACCTCGGCTTGGACCTCCTCTTTGATCTCTTCGACAGGTGCTTCCGCTGTCTCAGTTTCTGGGGAAGACTCAGGCTTAGCCTCCTCTGGTGTTGTCACTGGTTCCACCTCCTTCACCTCTCCCTCCACCACTTCCTTTGCTTTCTCTCCATCCTCCTCCACCACAGCCTCTGCTGTTTTCTCTCCCTCCTTTATCTCCTCCTCGGCAGCTTTCTCTTTTGGTTCCTCCTCTTTGGGCTTCTTGATGCTTGCCTTCTTGCGCAGGTTGAAGAAGATTCCCTGTGTAAAGAACCTTCTGAAGGGGGACTGAGTTGACTCCTGGCCAGGTGGGTTAGTTGCAGCTGGGTCCTCAGGCTCTTTCTCTGTAGCTCCCTCCTCAGCTCCATCTGTGGCCTCTTCTCTGATTACCTCTGCAGCCTTTCCATCCACAGACTCAGATGGGACATCCACTGGAGTGGCGTCAATGTCAATGATGGCGGTCTCTGGCTCAGTTGCCTTCTCCTCCTCAGATTTGACCTCCTCCTCTGCATTGGTGGCTTCCTCCTTAGTTTCCTCAGACCCGCTGGTCTCTCCTTCCTCCATGTCTTTGTCCTTCACCGTCAGCAGCTGCACCGGGTCCGTCTTCTCATTCTTGTCCTTCTTCACAGTGAACTTGAAGCCGACGAACTTAAAGATCTTTTTGAAGCCCACCTCGTTGGCCTCGCCTGATTTCTCCTCGACCTCCTTCTCCTCGGCAGCGGTGATGTTGTTTACGTCAGGTGACTCATTCTCATCCTTCTCTCCGTTCACCTGAGGGGGCACCTCGGCCTGGAGGGAGTCCATTGTCTCAGGAACCTCCTCCTTCTGAGACACGGACACGCCATCAACTGTAATGACAGAGAGATAAAAAGTCATGTTTTGGTTGAGGTAATATACACATTCCCACAAACAACAACCAATAGACACTCATTCTCTCACACAGGCACATAGGGGGAGCCATACCAGAGACAAGACTGTATCAGGGCAAATGGAAAATTGAGAAAAATTTTAAAAGATCACAAACTCACATAATGAATCTAAAATGGCATCTTCAACATCTGAAGATAACCTAAACCACATCGCAAAAGCAATAGCTGACCCCCTGAGTGGATTTAATCAAGCTGTGTGCAAGGGCCAGAAATAAAAACGTTTTATCGTTGACGCCACTCAACAACAAGCCCTGAAGGAGTCTTTGCAGAGTGTGTTTCACAATGAAAGCAATTCCATTGCCAACGTTTGGACAAAGATCCAGTCCCAAAATAAAGAAAGCTTACAGGCAAGAGTATACAGATGTAGGATCTTAATTTGATCACTCTTTTGTTGCTGAGAATCTTCCTGCAAAGAAGGAAATGCAAACGTATAGTGTATTTTAGTTTTAATAAGGCTTCTACGGTTTGTAATTTCCACTTTGACATTTCAGACTTGATTTGCCCTGACGAAAAATGTATCAACCCCTACAAAAATGGCCATTAATTATAATCCACATAATAATTCACATTTCCTGTTGCTGCAGGATAAGCAAACTGGCTCAAATTAAGATCCTAAATCTATATTGCAAACCCCTCAGCTGTGTTGCTTTTTCCAAAACTATAGCTATGACTTTATCCACTCTCATGCATCTACTGAAAGACGTAGTTGCTCTGTTTGACAAAAAGAAGATGCATCTGTTGAACAAGTGACAGGTGAGATAAACAGAACACACACACACTGCCTGAAATTCCTGCCATGTCTATCTGTGCTTTGACAGGAGTGGGCTGGGGTTGGGCTTAGTTCACAGGCTTTGTAGACCCCTGAGTCCCCCTTTCCTCTGACATCCCCCTACAGCAGGGGAAATCTCACATCTGGTGCTGGGAGTCTTTTCTCTGGGGGTCCTCAGCCTACCCTAGAACTCTCAAAACAAATTCCCAGCATTTTTTATACATGGATATCAATTTACCTAGAAACACACAGTTGTTTAACCAGGCAAACATACATGCTCATATCCTCATAGTGACCCCCTCCCTCTCTCCTCTGACTGCCAGATCAAAACACACCATGCACACGTTTCCACACACACACCCACATTTCCACACATGCAATACTCCCATAAAACAACAGTATGAGTTTACAGTTCAATATTCATAATTTTCCCTCTGACAACTTCAACTGACAGTCTGGCTAATGTAAATTTTTATTGCATGTCTGAAGATAATTCAAATCTGATAATCCTATCTTTTTTGAGCCAACTAATGAATAATCTTGCTCATAAATTTCTCTTAGAGAATGAAACAATGTGAGAAAAACAAGGTAAGTTTAAAGTTTAAAGGAAACTTTAAACAAAGACACAAGCCGTTGGAGCATAATGTTTCACATTAAATTCAACATGAATGATACATATCCTTAAAAACACTTATATTTTAAGGAGAGATATGTAAGGCTGTTTTTGCCTCCTTAACAAATCTACCAAATTTGCATTCCATTCATAAAAATAGTGCACTAGCAGTGAAGATAATGCTACTCTTGTCTCATACATGAATAAGATACAGTTCTGGGGTTTGGCCATCCGAGTTTATCTCTTTAATCTGTTCACTTCCTGTTGTTACATTACAGCGGTGGAGCTTCACATGTTGGTCTTCATTCATGGACTAAAAAAACAACTTTGACCAACAGAACCACTAGCGTAAAAAAACATTCACCAAATATCACATCAACTCAGTCTAAATCTGTGTAATATACATTAAGCTCATTTGGGGCTTTTGTGAGAGTGAGGCTTACAACATTTATTTTGGACATATGGATTTGACGTGAGGAATGTGAGCTATGCGAGTCACCCGGGGTTAGGGTGAAATTATTTTAGAATGCTGTAAATATAAACTGGTCTACAGCAGCCATCCACTTCCCATTCAAAAATACTATTTTTGTATCAATACTTGGTTTCAGCTGTATGTGGTATATGTTACTATGGGCCTATCCCCCACTAAATCCCATTAAATCCATCTCCAGATACCCCCCACCCCAACAAAAAATCCCTCTAACCTGAATTCCATCACATACAGCTAAAGGAAGACTGCATTGTGTGTTTTCTACCCCCACCCCCACCCCACCCCACCCCACCCCACCCTTCCCATCCACCCCCAAACACACATTGAGACGCTCACAATAGGCTTCCAACCTCTCCCGCCACAGAATGTTAAGGGTGGGGGTCCAACTCTCCAATTGTCCACCAAAACAACTTCAATAAACATCATAGAGGGAGAGAGAGAACAGGAGAGTTAGAAGTGTGTAAATCTGGAAAACACAAAACCAAGGACTCTACAGAAAAACAGGGAGGCATAAGACCTCTACTCAATTCACCCCAAGGACTCTGGGAAAACTACACTGAAGACATTTTATTGGAGTCAGTCTCTCACGATGGCCTTGGACTAAAGGTGTCTGCATGCTTCCCATCCGAAACAGTTTGGAATAGTTTGTCCGTATATTATGACACATTTGTGCGTAATTTTTGTTTGTTTTGGTATTTGGCAAGGTTTTTTGGGCTGATCGTGCACACAAAAAAATGTCTTGAGGCAAGCCGAAGTTCAAATCCGAAGTCTACGTCCCTTTGTCGGTCATTGGTCAACAGTAGGGATTCTTCAATGAAGTGTCTGTTGTCATTCAACGATAAACAACTCGTTTTCATGCATATCTTTTCACTTGAGAAATACTGCACCAAACATCTTAGTCAAATTGCGCGACTAAGATCTCCTCGTGAGTGGCGCAGTGGTCTAAGGCACTGCATCGCAGTGCTAACTGTGCCACTAGAGATCCTGGTTCGAATCCAGGCTCTGTCGCAGCCGGCCGCGACCGGGAGACTCATGGGCGGCGCACAATTGGCCCAGCGTCGTCCAGGGTAGGGGAGGGAATGGCTGGCAGGGATGTAGCTCTGTCGATAGAGCATGGCGTTTGCAATTCCCACGGGGGGCAAGTATAAAAAAAAAAATGTATTCACTAACTGTAAGTCGCTCTGGATAAGAGCGTCTGCTAAATGACGTAAATGTAGATTTCTTAAATTATTTTAGATTAATTCTGGCTACGGTGTCTCAAGATGGACAAACAGTACTATTGACGCTTTTTTCTCGTTTTTCAAGCGAAGGTCTTTTAATAATATGCCATTTAGCAGAAGCTTTTATCCAAAGCGACTTACAGTCATGCGTGCATACATTTTTGATCGAACCCACTACCTTGGCGTTACAAGCGCCGTGCTCTACCAGCTGAGCTACAGAGGACCACATACTCGTTCGGTTCTAGTTCGGCTAGGCGCCAGCCGAACCGATGCATGCAGAAGCCTTAAAGGCGTCACACGCTTCTCAGCCGAAACAGTTCGGAACAGTTTTTGCATGTATTATGACGACATTTTGGTTTTCGGCAAGGTTTTTTTTGTCTGTTCGTGCACACAAAAAAATGTCTCGAGGCAAGCCGAAGTTCAGGAGCCGAAGTCTACGCCCCTTCGTCGATCATTGGGGATTCTTCAATTAAGTGTTTGTTATCATTCAACAATAGACGACTCGTTTTCATGTACATTTTTCACTTGAGAAATATTGCACCAAACATCTTAGTTAGATGTAAAATTGCGCGACTAATATCTCCTCGGCAAAAAACATCAAAATTAATGACACATTTCTTGAGTTATCTTAGATTAATTCTGGCTACGGAGTCTCAAGATGGACAAACAGTACTATATCCCGTCTTTTAAGGGAGTATGCGAGCACACTCGTTCGGTTCGCCTAACCGAGTCCAGCTAGGCGCCAGCCGAACCGAAGCATGCGGAAGCCTTAAGGGGGTTGAGGGGGAGGCATGGGTAAATAATGGGGTTGTAGATGGGAATGGGAGGGGGGGCTGGAGAGCTCTCTCTCACATAGCTGTTATTGTTAGGGCAGTTGTTACATTGTCATGCCCATACCATTGTTAGGCAATGTCAAGACCATAAACAACATGCAAACAAACCCTCCCCCTGATGTAAGGCCCATGTGATCTTTTCAACACATATTTAGAAATACAGTTTACAGCTATATCTCAGTCCTAAACCACTGTAAATGGATATAATTATATTGGTCAGCCATATGAATAAACAAAGATGTTTCTCTCCAAGACATAATTATACTGTAAACAGAGTCAGTCCTTAGTGGGGCTGTACTAAGCCATGTGTATCTATGGCGATAATAAAACACAGGAACCATGATGATTTAACAGAGTACCGGCGTCTTCAGGCCTGTTTGATCTTTGTTTTACAGACAACTTTTTACAGGCATAGCACCATTAACAGGGTCGCTCCTACGGCTGGTTAGGGAAGAGAGGAGTGAGGGGTTATTAGAGTACAGAGGGTGAGGTGGAATGGGTGAGGGTCAGTTCTGACTGGTACTAGAGGAAAGTGAGGGCCCGGGGCTAGGAGTAGGCGGGGGGTGAGTGTAGACGGGTGAGGAGAGAGAAGAGGGGGTGAGGGTAGAGGAGGAGAGAGAAGAAGGGGTGAGGGTAGAGGAGGAGAGAGAAGAGGGGGTGAGGGTAGAATGCTGCCTGAGGGCCCAGTCAGAGGGTGTTACAGATCTCTGACACACTTAAATGCCTTATTCTGTTAGCTAGCTGTGTGTGTGTGTTAAGACTATGCACAGATTCAATTCCATGTCGACTGAGGCCACCGTCACTTGTAAATCTATCATTATTCCCTAGCGTCTCCAAAGGGGGGAGGGGGGGGGGGTGCTTGGGGGTGTCAGTGGCGGCTTTTGGGGGAGGTGGTGTCAGTTGGGTGGCGTCCTGCTATTCTATCCAGACTGTATTTGCAAACTTTGCCAAACAAACATATGCAAATCCCTGCTCTAATTACTGTAGTCTGCTGTGGGAAACAAAGTGAACAAAAAGAGTCA